CATTTGTCCCACAACGTGGGGTCGGCTACATGAATCTTTTTTCGTCATTGTGTCCTGTTAAAAGTCAAATTACCATTTACATATAATAAAGAATATCACTTTTAATATTTTCTAACCAAGTCTTTTTAGGTCTACCTCTACATTTCTTAACATAAGACAAATCTAAAACCTCAACTTTTTCAACCGGGTCATCAAAAAGCCTCCGTTTAATGTGATCAAACTATCTAAGACAACTCTCTCTAATCTTATCTTCCACTGAAGCGACTCCAATCTTTTCATGTACATGCTCATTTCATATCCTATCTCTAAGGGTAAAGCCACTCATCCACCTAAGCATCCTCATCTTTGCAACACTTAACTTAGTAATTAGTATTATGCTTCTCTTTTAATGGCCAACATTCGTCACCATAAATCATTGCAGGTTTCACCACCATCTTATAAAAATTTTCCTTAAGTTTGAGGGGGAAAAAAACCGAGTAAAAAAATATAAAGCCAATGAAATCCAAAATAAAACATACATTATTGACATGCTTAAGTCGGAAAAATTTTTAATCGGATTGAACTAAAAACAAAGATCATTGGGATATATTTAATAGCATATCATATTCATTGACATCATATCGAATAGAAGCCTACGTTACTTTTAAATAAAAATGACAATTGAATTTTGCATGAATTCATAGGCTATATAATGCCTGCAAATGAAATATGGCTTGTTAGTTTGAGGTATAGGTAAAACGCCTCTGATAGCATTAACGAATATGATTAATAGTTTTAACAAAAACATTAAATACATTAATATGTGGCATCCATTGCTGCCTCCTGTGCTGCCCGCTGCCCTCCCGGCTACTTGCATCCTGCCCACACTGCTGTGGGATTCGAATTGAGTATGCTTCAAAGTCCCAACCAATTTACTGGAAGGGAAAAACTGTTAAAAGTATAACATTTTTTTTATTTAAAATGTAATAAGGTAAATCTGCCGGAAAATTTGCAAAAAAATAGTCAGTCATATTTCATCGTAAATCGCCAAAAGGCCGCTAGAAAAATCCTCTGTTAATATGCGATTTTTCCGTGGCGATAATTCACTTTATTATTATGCTTTCTTACTTAATAGTGTTTAACATAATCCTCATTTTCCCGTAGTGTTTATTATTATGCTTTCTCCCCCCATATAATTCTTTAGGTAATTTGTCCCCTCCATGCATTTTTTAGTCTTTATTACAAAGATTTTTAGGCAATTGCCCCCCTAAAATTTTTAAAATACTATGGCCTTTAGGCAATTGAAAGTCAATAATTAGATAATATTTACCTTAACCGGGTCATCGAGCCCCGTCAGCGTGCACCTTGGACCCCCGATATATTTGCAAAGTATACAACGATGAACAAATAGGGGTCAAGAAGCAACACCATCGGAACAAATTTTGGTTGTAAGCTTATTTATGCACAAAAAATTACTTAATAGTGTTTAACATAATCCTCATTTTCCCGTAGTGTTTATTATTATGCTTTCTCCCTCCATATAATTCTTTAGGTAATTTTTCCCCTCCATGTATTTTTTAGTCTTTCTTACAAAGATTTTAAGGCAATTGCCCCCCCCCCCTAAAATTTTTAAAATACTATGATCTTTAGGCAATTGAAAGTCAATAATTAGATAATATTTACCTTAACCGGGTCATTGAACCTAGTCAGGGTGCGCCTTGGACCCCCGATATATTTGCGAAGTATACAACCACGAACAAATAGGGGTCAAGAAGCAACACCATTGGAAAAAATTTTGGTTGTAAGGTTATTTATGCAAAAAAAAAAAACTCAACACTTTTACTTATAAGTTTGTCACCAACAAACCCCCCCCCCCCCCCCCCCCCCACAAACCCCCCCCCCCCCCCCGCGTGAAAATTAAGGATGGATTCGCCCCTGATCATCACTTAAGTAATTTTCAAGAAAATAGAGATGCACATAATTCATTAATAAAAAAAAACTAAACCAAAATTTTGAGGAAAAGTATAAAAATAAGCAAGAGAATTACCCTAAAATGGTAAATTCAACATGCAAAATAAATTTCTAAGTATTTTTGGAGTATCTTTTAGTTAGCACTTCAAGATAAGTTCATTAACAATCGGCCAAAGCATCATGTTCCATATTTTTTATTTTTTGTCAAACTTTGAGGATAATAATCTTCCTACAAAAAAATAAAGCCTCAAAACAGGGTGAAGAACCATGCCTCCAAATCTAATCTTAGTGACAAGAATAGTCGACATCTTTTCAATAGAAGATTGGAGCCTTACCATTAGAACTGCAATTCTTAATTGCCTCCAAATATGATAACCTAATGAGAATGGGTGCTACATTTTTTAAGAAAAGATCGAAGTCTTATCGAAAGGACTACATATTTTGATAGCCATAAACTCCAATTTTTCCTACGACGACAATTGACACCTTTTTAAAATGAAGATCAGAGTTTCATTATAGGGACTACAATCTTGATCACAACTAAATTTGGTCTGTCCAATGTTGACATTAAATACCTTTTTTAAAGAAAGTTTTAACCCTCATCATGAGGACTACGGGCTTTAATCATCATTGATAATTGAACTTTTACTTGATGGTTTATGAGCCATTTACCATAGAAAATCAAATCATATGTCGGAGAAGCAAGTCTCTCTCCTAGCCCCATGAGGGTATTTATGGAGAAAAGGAGAGGCTAGAATTTTTTAAGTTAAAAAAATTATGAAAATTTTAAAATGTTTTAGGAATTTTTTGGGCCAATTTTCTTCTTTTTTTTTCCTTTTATAAAAAAGGAATTAAAAAAAGAAATAAATTAAATTATTATTTTTTTATTTAAAATTTGGGAGCTATACATTCATAGATCTCATGCTAAGAGAGGCACCTAGGATTAAAAAAAAAAGATGCAAAATAGAATCTATGATGAGCACTCACCCAAGGCACACACACCTAGTGTATAGAGGCGCTACTAGTAGTGGGCAACATCGAGCTAGTTTAACCACATATGCATGTCCGAGCCCATTTTCAGCTTTGATAGTCTATTACAATCATTTTTTGGGGTCCACAGAATAATTTTTTGATAATTTATAAATAATTTCATTACTATAGGAGCCCAATGGAACATTTGCGGTTAAATAAAAATAATTTTAACCAATTTGGAGCAAATTTTTTGATAGATTTTACACCTCTCAATGTACCAACTTCATAAAAGGCTAAATTATAATTAAAAAGATTTTACTTGATTTACAGTCATGAGGGGAGAGCTACATTAATTTCAAAGGAGTGGACGCACCTCATCATTTTTGTAAAATTTTAGTTTTACATCGAAAATTTTTGTGAAGACTTAACATATATTTTTAGAAAAAATAGTATTCAATATATCAAAATAGAAGAGTAACTGATATGTCATAATATTTATGAGACCCAATCTGAATCTCAAGGTAATCTTCAAACTAAAAACTTCTTAATCAAATTCAAGAACGCTTCAAACTATGATTTTGACAAATTTATTATAAAACTAAGAATCTTAATGAGATAAACCCAACAACACTAAAAATGAACCGATTCAAGTCGAAATGAACATCAATCAAGCATTTGAAGTATAATCAGAAATTTTGGATCATTAATTAGATAACAAAATGATATTCAAATCTTACATGTATGATTATAGTTAAATCTAGTTCCTCAATGAGATAACTAACAAGCCTAATAACATCAAGCCTTTAATTTTAACATCATTAAAGCAATTAAACTCTAAAAGATTGATCTATGCTCCAATGGATAAATGCATGCTATATCAAGGAGTGTTTTAGATTTTGGATATATTTATTGACAATACAACTCATAAAATCTATAAATGAACCCACATTTTCTACATGAAGGGAGAATTAGAGCTAGAGCTTGGACTTTGACTATAAACTAGAGAGAGCTCCTTCATCGGACCACCATCATAAGACCGTCATCTGAACACCATGCATCATCTAAATTAAGAGACTCCTAAAGTTACTTATTAATTGAGACTATTCACTAAAAAAGCTCATTACTCATTTAGATATGCTGAAGAATACCTTATAAGCATCTTATTTGAGTCTACTCTTCAACCCTTCATCAATCATGTCAAACTATTTTTACAGATTTGCTGAAGAAGGTTAAAAATTAAGTATGCTTGTAAGTTTCAACAAGTTTATTAATTTTATAAATAATATCTTAATCTTTTTTCAAACTTTGTTAGATACTTATTAATTATTTATTTGAAGTTTATTCGAATTAAGCTTCATTTGAGATGACTTTTTTATTACTTTTTCAAACAACTTTCTAGTTTAAAAATTGAAATTCTTATACCAAAAAGCTTTTTTAAGAAGTAGTAAGAAAGTTGTCCCAAATAAATACTGTGGTTAAAATAAAGGCTTCGTTTGAGACGGTTTTTTTAATGCTTCTTAAAACAACTTTCTAAAATTTTTGTACTAAAAAACTGCTTTAAGAAACAGTAAGAAAGCTGTCACAAACAAAGGCTAAGGATACAAAAGAAAATTTTTGGACATATTTTTTTAAGAAATGAAATAGCAATATCTCTCTCTAATTTTTTAAAGATATATAACGTCAAAATTTCCCCATGGATAATAATCTGCACCTATCATAGCTGTTTACAGCCATATATGCTACAGACGAAGCCCTAATGATTTACTTAATTTTATCAAATTGAAATTTTCATGCTGAAAATATCCATAGCAAAAATAGCGTTGGCAAAAATTTAATAACTAATAAACTTAGCTTTTAAACTCGGTCTGAGGACGCCAAAAATTTTGACCTATTATACTCCTCTACATCCTTTACAGCCAAACCAGACTTACGTTGAAAGCAGGCTAAATTTTTTTTTATTCAATTAAAAATTTTCTCGAATGCCTATTTATGCAACCGAGTGCTATAGCCAATCGCCATAAGCTTCTCATAGCTCCTTAGCTCTCTGAAAGAACAAAATTATCTTAGTAACAGCAGCCATGGCTGAAGCAAATCCAAAGGCCCACGTAGTTCTTCTCCCAAGCCCAGGGATAGGTCACCTCACCCCACTAGCCACGCTCGCCAAGCGCCTTGTTCTCAATCACGACTTATCCGCCACCATCATCACCTTCTCCGACCTCTCCTCCGGCATCCAACAATCTTTGCTCTCCTCCCTTCCCAACGGAGTCACTTCTGTTTCCCTTCCGGCCATTCCCCTCGACGACCTTCCCATCAACACTCACATCGTCACTCGCCTCTCAATCATGATTTCCCGCTCTGTTCCCTTCCTGCGTGAAACTTTACTCGCCCTCCAAAAGACTAGGCGCATCGTCGCCTACATCATAGACCACTTCGGCGGCGAAACCCTCTCCTTGGCTTCTGAGCTAGGCATTCCTCGTTACATCTTCGGCACAACCAACTTCTTTTATCTATCCTTCTTGCTCAACCTTCCTTCTCTTTATCATGACAAGCCTGGCAACCATAACCCAAACCAGGTTCTATTTTTGCCCGGTTGCACGCCGCTACATCCCAAGGACTATAGTAGGTCATGTATTGATAAAAATAGCAAGGTCTTCCAATGGATGCTTCGTCACTCGAAGCATCACGATCAAGTTGATGGAATCATGGTCAACAGTTTCGAAGCCATGGAAGGTGGCACGGCCAGATTTCTTAAAGAGAGGGGAAATGGAAAGCCCCCGATCTTCTCCATCGGGCCACTCACTTGTGATAGCAGGTCAGATAAAAGCCAAGTCGAGAGTGGCCTCTGCTTGCGGTGGCTCGACCAACAACCAGGTCGCTCCGTGTTATTCATAGCATTCGGGAGCGGTGGCATGCTTTCTTTCAAGCAGACAAAGGAGATGGCTTTGGGGTTGGAAATGAGCGGCCAGAGATTTTTGTGGGTGGTTCGGAAGCCAGTGGATGCCGATGCAAGCTCGGCTTACTTTAATCATCGTCATGGAAAAAATAACCCACTTGGGTTTTTACCGGAAGGATTTGTGGAAAGGATGAAGGAAAAGGGGATGGTCGTGCCTTCGTGGGCACCGCAGGAAGAAATACTCGCCCATGGAGCCATAGGTGGATTTCTTTCACACTGTGGATGGAACTCGACCTTGGAAAGCATCATCAATGGCGTGCCAATGATCACATGGCCGCTCTACTCGGAGCAACCAATGAATGCGGTCATGCTCGTGGAGGGGGCAAAGGTGGCGCTGCGTCCGACTGTGATGAATAATGATGATCAGGTGGTGGGGAAGGAGGCTATTGCGGATGTGGTGAAGGATTTAATGGAAGGAGAGGGAGGGAAAGACGTGCGTCGAAGAATGCATGAGTTGAAGGAGGCGGCCATGAAAGCGGTCGGAGCAAACGGGTCTTCAAATAAGGCACTTGCTCAGATGGTCAACAAGTGGAAAACAATGGCTTCCAATTAGGGCGAATTATTTTCAGTAAGGGGTCCATAAGGGACAACCATATAATTTATAAAATAAAAAATAACAATGTTGCTGGGAGGGGTTGCAAGAATTGAAGGAACTAGAATTGATTCTTTTCCTCTCTCAGTTTGGATTAGTTGGATTTAGTAAACGTTGAATATTATTTTCTTTTCAGTGTTCTTTATCTTTATATGTTTATCATAAGGCGTTGAATAAGTTTGATGGAAATATATTAGTTTTTAATTTGATTTGTTGTAATTTGAATGGTTTAAATACATCAAATCAATCTCATCGACAATCCTAATTGCAAGATGTTCTGTTATGAACAAATGCAAAAATTTATATTCTCATTTGGAGTACTAGGGCCTCTAAAGATAGTTGTATTCTCATGACCTTCATTAAATTTATCAAAATATCTCACCCACCAGAAGGAGCGGTCTTCTCCACCATCTGTGAAGTAAAAAAGAAAGAGTTTAGTGAAATATCCACGTAGAGGAGTTAGGAAGTGGTCATAGATTGATAAGCTAAACCACTATAAAATTTTGATTTACATCTTGTGTTCTTTAGCACTTTATTTTATTGCACTTGTTATAATATTTATGATGATAATGGTTAGTATGATATGATAACCTCTTATGATGAAATGAATACAACAACAACAACATCAAGCATTTGTCCCACTATGTGGGGCTGACTACATGAATCCTTTTTCGCCATTGTGTCCGGTTAAAAGTCAATTTCTCATTTAAATCTAATAAAGAAAGATCATTTCTAATATTGTATGACCAAGTCTTTTTAGGTCTACCTCTATCTTTCTTAACATAAGTCAAATCTAATCCCTCAACTTTCCTAACCGGGTCATCAGAAGGCCTTCGTTTAATTTGACCAAACCATCTAAGGCGACTCTCTCTAATCTTATCTTACCTTTTCACGTATATGCTCATTTTGTATCCTATCTCTAAGGGTCAAGCCACTCATCCACCTAAGCATCCTCATCTCTACAACACTTAACTTAGTATTATGCTTCTCTTTAATGGCCAATATTCGGCACCATAAAGCATTGCAGGTCTCACCACCATCTTATAGAATTTTTCCTTAAGTTTGAGGGAGATTTTCTATCGCACAATAAGCCTGATGCATTCCTCCACATCAACCATCCAACTTGAATTCTGTTAATAATATCCCCATCAATTTCACCATTACTCTGAACAATAGATGTAACATATCTAAAATGTGTTCTCTTATTAATGACTTGATCGCCCAAAGTCACAATCCCCTAACTAGGTCTATTGCTACTAAAATCACACTCCATATATTCAGTTTTAGATATACTAAAGAGAACCTTTAGACTCTAAAGTTGACCTCCATAATTCAGGTATACCTTCAACTCCCTCTCTAGTCTTGTCAACAAGAAGAATATCATCAGTAAAAAGCATACACCAAGGAACATCCTCTTGCAAATGTCTAGTGAGAACATCCATGACTATAAAAAAAGATATAGACTTAAGGCCGATCCTTGATATAAATCGACCGAAATAGGAAAATACTTGGTCAAACCACCTTGTGTTTGAACACAAGTAATAGCTCGTGCATACATATCTTTAATGATTTGAATATAAGCTTTATTAACTCCTTTCTTTTCAAGAGCTCTCCATAACACTTCTCTTGGAACTTTATCATATGCTTTCTCTAAATCAATAAATATCATATGTAGATCCTCTTTATTCTCTCTATATTTCTCCATTAAATCTCTCAATAAATGTATGACTTATATAGTAGACCTACCCCGCATGAATCAAAATTGATTTTGAGAAACATTAGTATCACGCCGCAACCTTCGCTCCATAACTTGCTCCCATAGTTTTAAAGTATGGCACATTAACTTAATTCCTCTATAATTCACGCACTCCTGTGCATCACCTTTATTCTTAAAAATAAAAATTAACACACTCATTGTCCACTGATCTGACATCTTTTTAGTCTTCAAAATAGCATTAAAAAGTTTAGTAAGCCAAGAAATCCCTTCATCTCCTAAGCATTTTCAAATCTCTATTGGAATATCATCAGGTCCAACAACTTTTCTACACTTCATTTTTTTCAAAGCCTCTCTAATTTCGATTTTACTTATACGCCAAAAAAATATATTTTCATTTAGGGTGATAAAGTCCCTAAAGTTGATCATATTTTCACATTCTTCATTAAAAAAATTTAGTAAAATATTTCATCCACCTTTGTTGAATATCATCTTATAAGAAAAGTACTTTTTGATCTTCATCCATAATACACTTCACTTGAACTAAATCCTTACTATTTCTATCTCTTTGTTTGACTAACTTATACATATATCTTTTTCCCTATTTAGTATCTAATCTATTATATAAATCATTAAAAGCTAAGCTCTTTGCATCGCAAATAACTTTCTTAGATTCTTTACGAGCCTCTTTATAACTTTCTCAATTATCAGAATTTTTACATCAAACCAATTTTTATAACAAATTTTCTTATTTTTTTAATCTTTTCTTACACATTTGGATTCCACTACCAACTATTTTTACTATTAGGAGATTTTTTCTTTAAAACTCCAAACACATCTTTTGTAATATTCTTAATGTTACAAGCCACTTTTTCTCACATAATATTGATATCCTCATGCATAGATAGAATCTTAAGATCTAAAATATTACTCTAAAAAATACTTTTGTTAATATTTTTTAAATTCCCCCATCTAATCCTAAAAAATCATTTTACTTTATTTTTTATTTTTTGCCCCTTTTTTTAAATTCCAAAACTAATAATTGATGTTAGGTACATAAAATTCAACGGAATAACTTTACAATCTTTGTAATCTAAATGATCTAATTTTCTTATAAGAAAATAATCAATCTATATTTTACTATATCCATTTTACTAAATGATCTAATTTTCTTAATTATAAGAAAATAACCTGGTGAGCCACTATATATAAACCACATGTTGTTTATAATATCCTTCTCAAGTATTTTGATATGTAGTAATCGAGTCATGATGAGGGTATTCCCTCTTAGGAGCATATCCCTCAAAGGATTAACCTAGGACAAATAAAGGAAATTGGATAAAGAAAATGAAGGGTATTTCTCATTCACATCCATCAAGTAGCTTTCCCATTCCCCATCAAACAAAAAAGATCACCACTCAACTCAATCAAATCCCCCCTCCGAGTTTGCCAATATTAGTTATAGAAAAGTGCCCAACTAAGGGATTTCACACTCCCTTCAGGTACTTCTACCAGGATTAGAAACTGTTCACCTCCATTCACTCACCATTCACAATAAGGCAACCTCAAGCCTCTTACACCATCCACCGATCTAATAAGATGATGCATCATCATTGTGTCCATCTCCTCTTAGAACTCTCCCACAGACTTCCCCTACACCTACTAGCCTTTCTCGAGCTTTCTTGATGATAAACATATCCCACCCAACCATTAACTTCATGTCACAGTCTGATCCAATATTACTCGATACTAGACATGTCATATTATATCTGATTGTTGCAGAACTAACCTAGAGATCCAATTAGAGAAGTACTAAAATAAAACTTTTAATTTAAACACACTACATAGACACTATTGAACACACAAAAAAAAAAAAGACTAATGAATCTCAAAATGATTATTTATTTATATATAATCTAAGATATCTACAACAGTGCTTGGCGTAATAGACAACATAACAAAATAAAAGTCAAGCCTATAAAAACTCAAACTAACAAAAACATACATGCAAAATAGATCAGAGCCTACTATTAAAAACTAATAAGCTCGCTCGTTACCCTTTTCTTTGTAAGAAAATAAAAGTAAAAGTAAGAGTGAGCTAACACAGTTCAGTAGGCTATCATAGCCTAAAATAGAAATAAACAATTGAAACCAAAAATACTAAAAATACTATATTGTAATAATAAACTGAAATATTGTACAAAATTTGAAACTGAAATATATATTAATACTGAATGCATTTAATTAACCAATGAACTTTACTGAAATTGAACTATAAACAAATGCCTTATAACAATTTTCATAATAGACCTTAGGCTCCATCATCATAACATATCTCATATCAGAATCCCACCTTGATAGACCATTGGCTTTAGCATAACATCACATATCATATCAGAATCCCAACTTGGCAGCACACCAGCTCCAACATAACAGAATCCCACCTCGGCAGTCAACTGGTTCCAGCATAATAGAATCCCACCTTGGTAGTCTAATGGCTCTGACATAACAAAATCCTTTCTCTCTTCCAAAATTTCACATTTCTTTTAATATTATAAACATATTCAATGCATTTCATTAAATAAAATATAATTTGACTTAATTCAGAAAGTATCAAAATATCCTAACAATAGGCAACAAAAATACTACTAAGCATAAATTTACTATTTAAAAATATAATCAAAATATCAAAGATTATATAATAACAATATAAAGCTTTAATTGAACTAAAATACTATTTTAAAATATTGAAATAAAATTTTGAATTGATAAAAGTTGATGCTTTTTTTAACTCACCTGATAAAAAATCTAGAAAAAATACTGAAAATAACTAGAACAGTCGTAATGATAACATCAAAAGTTACACGAATAAAAGTTACTAGAATTTGATAAAGTTGTATTTTTGTAAAACTAAATTATAAATCTGATCAAAAAATAAAAAATATCGAATTATTGAAAATTGAAATAGATAAAATGTAACATACATCCAGATGACCAAATTTTCAACTAGGCTGACTAGCAAAAACAACCCAAAGCCACCCAAAATGGATTCTCCATCTCCTCTCTCTTCTCTTTTTCCTTTCTTTTTTTTTTTCTTCCCTTTCTGTATTACATGAAATGAAAGGGGAGGCTTTTAAGTTCTTTAGAATTTTTTTTTAATAAAATTTTCAATAGACGTAAATATAATGATGTCAATTATTTAACTTTTAGTCTAAATTGCTTTTATATCTTTAAATATGGAAAACCA